AGGGTGTACTTAGTTTTTCACACATGGCTTCTCCATTTTGGCTTTCTTTTTGTAAAATAAACAATGACATGGTTTAATATGTCATGTGGTGGTGTTCATCTGAAGTTGTATTTACCTACTTTTGAGAACTGCTAAGGACCAGATGATTTTAATTATATCCTGATATATAAAACCATAGAACTCAAAGAGGGTGTACTTTCTTTTTCACACGTGTGTGTGTGTGAAGGCCCTGTTTTATACATATAAGAGGATAACACAGGGAAGGGAGCTTTCAACTTCCTTGGAAAAAAGGCAGCATAAACTAAAACTTGTAACACACACAGGTGTAACCACACATACAAACATGTCTGTTTGCAAAGGACATTTTCAGTATTATGAATCCTTCTTGTATGTTCTTTAGGTCATATATTTTAGGATATCCTAAAGCTTCAAGCAACTTCCCCCTTGCTGCAATCAAAATTTCCAATTATTGAATCAACCAATGAGTCATTGAATTATTTCACTTAGAGCCTTGCTCTCTTTGCATAAAGATTACATGAATTCTTTATGAATGTCATGCCATTCTTTTTATTTTCTGAACATTTTTCTTGTTGAACATGTTCTGCAGGAAATTACAATTTAGGCAGCTACAGCCACATCAATGCCATACTATAAAATTACTGGAGGAACAAACAGCAACACAGATCAAATAATGTGTAGTTCAGATGTAAAAGATAGATATCATTGTGGCAGAAGACCTCTCAGTTTATCATCTAAACTACAAAAATGGATCTATCCCTCACCTTGCCCAGCGATACCTGCTAATCAGTTTCTATCTCCTTTCCCTAAGCCCTAGTTCAAGAAATCAAAGGCTTCTTCTCCTCTTCCCTGGAACATTAGCATGTTCTATGTGCTTCTTTTCAGCTGTATCATCTGAGATATCATCTGCTCCAGCTTTGGCATGCAGAATCAGTCAGTTCTCCTCCTCAAAAACAGCTACTGCACAATGTCCAGCTGGAACGTACACAGCAGCTTCGACCTCTCCCCCACCCTTGCTTGGCTTCTGGAAATGGATCTCTAGAGCTTCACCCATCAGCTCCCTCTCTAAGACATCTGGAATCTCCGTCAGCAGGACAGTACGAGGGCAGACTGAAGGACGGAGCTGGGATGGAGAGAAAAGACAATGGAGGCTGGTGAACAAATGCCACAAATGAAGATAAATGTAAAGCCAAGAACAGTAGCTCTTAAAATAAAAGATTCAAGAGACCTGTTTATAGTCCTGCCAACTGATTTTAGGTAGGCAGTGTCCTCTGCTTTAAGTTGGGGTTCTTGATATGAGAAGGCTGAATGTCCAATTCATATACATTAGAGGCCCTTTCTAATTCCAATGGACCACAGAACGTCTTGTAAACTGGCACCAAGATGGAAAGGTACCTATAACATTCGCATTACAGAATTAAATGTATGGGTCTTATGGAATCACACTCTTCCTCAACTGTTGAAAATGTGAGAAAAGAGCTTTGTTGAGCTAAAGGAAACCTTTTCTTCTTCCCATTTATATACCATTTTCCTATGGAATTATTGCTGCTATAATGTACCAGAATTTGGGAAGTGAGAAAGATTTCTCTCTGATTAGGGCCGGGAATGGGCTACCACTTAGGGCAGAGCTTCCCAAAGAACAGTGTCTGTCTCTGCGCTAAGAACTGTACATACAAAAGGGCAGAGTTTCAATTGTAAAGCTGCACCTGCCTCCTTGCAGCTTTTGATCCTTTTGACCCCAGAGACACCCATGCCCCAAAGCCTTGATGTGGCCCCCAGAAATCTTCAAAATTGTTACCAACTTTTAACTTTTACTGTGAGAGAGAAAAATGATTAAATATATGACTGGAAAGTAATCAGGTCACCTATTTGAATTAATTAATTAATTAATTAATTCACATAATTTGAATTAAAGTTACATATAAATGAAGCAAAATTTAGTTTTCCTTCTAGCCCCACCCACCACTTTTGGAAAACAGCTCCCCACCACAACTGTAGCCCTTGGATGGGGGGCACAGTTTGCTTTAGGAGAGGAGAATGAAGTGTGTTTCTGTCAATCTTTTCCCCTCACCTGCAAATCTGTAATTTCCCCACCTAAGTAATGTGAAGCCTTGACCTGATGGGTCTCCTTTCCAAGAGTCACCTGGAACAGACCTTTTTCGACAATCCGCTGAGCCACTGGAAGGGAGGAAAAAGACTCTGCTTGAAATCTATAACCAAGACCTGTCCCCCCACATATGTGTACTTGCATAAGACAAAGCATGTTCTACAGTCAACAAAGCACAACGTTGCTGTGTTTATTTCAGTTTTGTGCCCACCTCTTTCCAATTAGAAGGAAAATAAATCTGCTTGCACAGAGAAGTGAAGCAGAAAGGAAAATGGAACAACATGCATGCTTTAAAAAAAAATCAAACTCTTGTTTTGTTCAAACAAAAATGCTGAAACTAAAAAGTTTCAAGAATTACTAAACATTGTAATTCATCTTTCACCTTTCTTGTGAAGAAAAAGATTGACCAAATAGACTTTTAAAGCTGTTAAGAAACACTGAATAAGAAATTTACAAAGTGATGAAGTATAGTGAGCAAGGGAAATGTTAATCCACAAAATACAAGGACTTAACTGGATTTTTGCTGATTAATAAAATGAGTTGAAGATTTAGAAATGGACTTATAGAAAATGGGGTGAGGTATGGAATGGGGTGAGGTATGGAATATTTGGTTGCATTTTAAGAGAGTGATAAGTTATTAATGTTGACTATACTTGCTGGGGATGACAAGGGAAGTTTCTTTTATTTGTTTCTTTCTTTTGTCTTGATTTTTTTCTGCAGTTTTTAAATTATATATGTATATACATATATTTAAAATGTATTGCTGTATTAGGTTGTTGTATTAGTTTTACTTATTTAATATAATCCTTAATAAAAATTATTTGAAAAAAAATACAAGGACTTAGAAGTACTTGCTGAAAATGTGAGGAAGCAGGTTTAAAGTGGGGAAAAGGAAGCCATTTTCATGCTAAAAACAGCAAAACACTGCAGAACTACAGGTAGTTCTTGTTTAGCGACTGCCTTGTTTAGTGACCATTCGAAGTTATGATGGTGATGAAAAAGTAACTTTACAACCAATCCTTCACAGGTCTGTAAAGCAAAGGAAAGCTGAAGTAAGATCATAAGCAGTTGCAGTTTCACTTAGCAACCGCTTCACTTAACAACTAAGTTGCCGGTCCCAATTGTGGTTGCTAAATGAGGACTATGTGTAATTGCTATAGTGTTGCATTATAACACCCCATCACATGCTAGGCACTTCTGTTAGTGCAGACTAGTAAAATCAGTCGTACACTAACAAGGAAGCTAGCATGGAAAAGT